TCTTTTTGTAAGAGTGTTCAACAATCTGTTATCATCTGGTGATCTGCTCTGATGCCATCGTTTCCTTTGCTTTCGTTTTAGTTTTAATATATTTGTTATTTCCTTGGGATAGATGTGTTGTGTTTAAATGACGCCAAGCGCCTTTTTTAACGGAAAAAGAATTTTTTGTTTAAGTGTTTTTTTGTTTTTTCAAAAAGTTAAGGCTTTACTAAGGACAATTTTCACGCCTCGCCATTGGTACTGTATGCAACTTTCTGCTGCATATCAATGATATTGTTAATTCCAGATACTTTTGCGTATGCTGATGACAGCACAGTTGTAGATAGGTACTTCACCAATGCAAAGGTCAGTGGAAGGGAAATCCAGTCTTTTCGAGAATTTATAGTTAGCAGTTTGGATTTGACACTCGAGGCAGTCTTCGATTGGAGCGATGCCAATCTTGTCAACTTTAACGCTACCGAAACTCAGGCGTGTCTTTTCTTCACAAAACGGAGTCCCTTTGAGCTGACTCCGACTTTTTTGTATCTATACCGATAGCTAACCGTCTCCAGCTACTTGGTGAAGGAGAAGCTGCACAGCCTTGAACACCACCGTAAAGTTGCCTGCTTATCGGTATTTTACAGAATATACTAGGGCGTTCAATGTATTCTCGGTATCGGGGTGATTAACTAATAAAAGAGTAAATTAATTACCTCATTAATTAAAGACACTCTTTAAGGGTATAAATATAAAATTTCATGTAATTGTCATCATTAGTATTCAAGTTATCAATACGAGAAGACAACTAAAATGACAGACGCCACAATGTTGACGAAAATCGAGCACCGCGCAGTGATTAAATTCCTTACAAAACAAGGAAAGACTCAAAAAGTTATTCATGAAGAAATGGTGGCTGTTTATCAAGATTCTGCTCCTTCATTATCTACTATTCAGAAGTGGTCTAGTGAATTTAAACGGGGTAGAGAGAGTATTGAAGACCGCCCCAGCGCTGGAGGGCCGGTAAGTGCCACTTCTGAAGAATACGTCAAAATTGTCGAGAAACTTGTATTGGAAGATGCCCGTATCAGAGTGAAAACATTATCAAAAAAGACTAAGCTATCCGTGGGTATCATTCACACTATCCTTCATGAACATCTGAATCTTTCAAAAGTCAGGTTTCAGATGGGTGCTGTGAATGTTCACGCCGCTTCAGAAACCAGTTCGAGTTGAGTGCAGTAAGGGGTTTTTGGAGCTCTGTAGCGAAAATCCGAGTGGAATTTTTGAACGCATTGTGAATGCATGAAACGTGGGTTTATCACTATGATCCGGAGAGTAAGCAAGAGTCCATGCAGTGGCATAAAAAAGGAACAGACCCACCGAAGAAGTTTAAAGTCTGCCCATCCGCCGGAAAACTCATGGCCACAGTGTTTTGGGATTTTAAGGGAATTTTACTGATCGAATACACAAAATGGGTCAAAGTATTACTGCTGCAGCTTACGCAAACAGCCTACGCAATTTGAAGGACGCTATAAAGGAAAAAAGACCTGGAAAATTGAACGCTGGTGTCTTGCTTCTTTATGACAAAGTTCAAGACAAGGTTCACACAGGGCGCGTTGCCAAGGCTGCTGTGAGGGATTGTGGATTTGAAGAAATCACTCATCCACCCTACAGCCCTGACCTGGCCCCCAGTGATTACTTTTTGTTCCCAAACCTAAAGAAAGATCTTCGGGGTATGCATTTTTCCGACGATGAAGAGTTGAAGGTGGCAATTAATGAACATTTTTCAGGCAAAGAGGAAAAATATTTTTTCGAGGGCATCGAAAAGTTATTTACCCGATCAAATAAGTGTATTGAGGCTATGGGAGACTATATTGAAAAATAAATTTTATTTAGAATTTTTTGCCTATTATTTCATACCTATACCGAGAATACATTGAACGCCCCTCGTATCACGATAAATGATTACACGATTTAATTCCGCCTTCCCCTTTCCATCATCGGGGAACCAGACGTAGGCTTGGGTACCACCCTTATGTTGTGGATAATCCAAAGATTCGCACGAAGTGTTCAGTGGAGTTCCCTGCTTGCAGACTTGTTCCCTGAACGTTATAACTTGGACCTTTTTTTTCAAGGTGAGAGTGAATAGGCATTATTTAGGTATGCATGCTCCATCGTCGACCTCATCGTCACTTTCCATTAGGTCAGATAGATGTCAAATGCGCAATTATATTTCATAAGAAAAACGTTATAGTCATCTTTTCAGGAAATTAAAGAGTAGTTGGTTTTCATCGATTCTGAAAAAATATACTTTTTGAGTTCTAGGTTTTCGCGATTGTTAAACATAGGAAATTAAACTTTTCAGGATTAAAATCGAGTACATTTGTTTTTCAAACAAACCAACGTTTCGGACCCTTTACATAGGACCTGTAAAGGGCACAGTTGACCATGACTATGGACCTGTAAAGGGCCCGAAACGTTGGTTTGTTTGAAAAAACAAATATACACGATTTAAATCCGGATAAATAGTTTCATTTCCTACACTTTTTGACTTAATAAACTATTGTGTTAACAGTGCGATATCAAAAATGTGTCTATTACTCCCTCAATGACATGCCACGGCGAGCTGTCAATGTGTACTATATGTATATTATCTATGTGCTCGATTCATAGTCATTAGGTATAAAAACTATCCTCAATTCAAATTCTATTATTATATAACTTAAACTGCTGATTGCAAAATAACTTTAAATTTTCTACACATTTACATCGCGGTACTTAATTGTGCTCTCGTTAGTCATATTTTATCGCGATTTAATTGATATGATGATACGTTAATTGCATAAGGTAGATGTTTTAAATAATGAATAAAGTTAACGCGGTGAAATCGTTTAGACTTATCATTTAAAATACCTTATAATTAATTATTTGCTTAAATATTACAAAAAAACTTATCGTTAGTTAAGTAACATATAACAACGTCCAAGTTTAAACAATTCAGTTCATATTGATCATAATCATATCGTTATTGTACGTAATTTTATCAGATTTTGAATGTTGTTTTATTAGTAAAAGACATTTCGTACTTAATATAAGGGACTATATTCAGTAAATAGTATGTACCTATGACCTTAAATATATTATCACGTTTTCCACTCTACAAGGAAAACAAAGGACATTTTGTAACTTACAAAAAAGTATACGAACAAATTATTTTAATACAATGTTATGTAAAGGTTATACACCTTTATCAGCTTCCAAAATAAATCGGCACAGTTTTGACATTTACGAGTATCTCTGGTCCTTTACGACCGCACAAGTCATTTAAAACTGGAGTAAACTTCTCACGAACAGTTACGAGATCGACCCATAAAGGGGTCCGATTTATTGTCAGTAGAAACAACGAAGTGCAAATGTAGCAAGCGGTATTTATAAAATATTTACAAATATTGTATATTTCGCTGTTACTTCTTGAGTTGTTTTGGCTAATACGAAAACCGCTGTCATTTTGTAGGTTTTCCTTTTTCTTTGCTCACTGGAGCAGGCAGCAGTAGCAGTGCGTATGTTGACACCAACACACGACCACGAATTTAAGTAATACTCGTATATGTGACAAGATACCCACGATAACCACAAGATAGCCTACTTATTTTTATATAATTTAACCTGTGATAATGATATATATATACGACGTCCATCTGTAAACAATCCAGTTCATATTGATCACAATCATATCGTTATTGTACGTAACAGTAAAACCGAATTAATAATTTACAAAAAAAAATATTAAAAGGTGATCTACATTACAATCTCCAATTAAAGAAAAACTTATGTAACTTCTGCAACGCACGGTATTTATTTTTTTTCATTTTTTTTTTGTTTTATCGACGTGTTCATACACTACCTTAGTTTATTTAAGTAATACTATCCAAAATATCTATCGTCGTTTGCAAGTTTGTGGCTGGAATAGTCGCACGTATAGTTACGAGATCAAGCCGTAAAGGGATCGATTTATTGTCGGCACGGAAATAGCGCTGAGTGTGGAAATTGAAGCAGGCATCTGTCGAATGTGCTAATTATCCTGCTGATGGTGAAACTGCACGTACTTTTACTATTTAATACAATATTATCATCCAGTCATTTATATTTTACATTTGATTTTATTTTATTGATGTGAAAAAATTTATTAACCCTAATGTACCTAACCGTAAGTGAGTGAGTGTTGGATGTGGCAGAAAAAACATGAAAGCAGGGTGAATACTGTAGAAATAAGAGCTTTGTGCAATATTTGCGGTATTAGTCTTAAATATAGAATACCGAACAGTAAAGTAAGAGAGCGTTGTGGTATGAAAGATGATGTAGTGACAAGGATAGAGAGATAGATAGGGATGCTTCGATGGTTTGGCCATGTAGAAAGAATAAATGTTGGTAGATTGACGGCATACATTTATAGAGCTAATGTGGATGGAAGCGTGGGGAGAGGTAGACCTCGGCGAACATATCTCAATCAGATTGAGGATATCCTTAAAAAAGGTTTTAAATGATTCAATGCGGACAACACGCGCCATTAATGATAAAATTTTGTATTAACGACAAAACCTGTAGGTAGCGCTGAGGGTTACCTATCAGTTGTCTGAAATGACATTTTCCGGAAATAAAGTTTGCTGAAATTTTCATTACCTCGACAGTAATTTCGAGAGGAAAATGTTTTTTCTTTTAAGCCTTTTTTTTAACTCTGGGAAACGCGTTACGCGTACCGCTCGGCTCGGGGGGAGCTGCGAGCGGTTATGTGTGACTCCCGGGCTCTAGCCCGGTATACACACTAAAACCCAGCGGTTAACCCCCACCGCCATAGCGAGACGCCACTGGATTCGCTTACGCATACTACAGGAACGCCTCGGCGGATGGTCCGCGTGAGCGGACCCCGGCATTCGGAGAGTGCCTCGGGTCAACACAAAGGCACCCTCACACTTGTGAGCACAGACTTGGAGATAGGATCCCCCGACCCCTGTCCCCACGGCTCACTACAGCGGGGGAAGAAGGTGGGCGTACTGCCTCCTTCTTCTCCCCAGTCGCCGTCTACGGAGCGGGTCAGCGAGGGGGTCGTCCTCTTTGAGCCGTTCCGAGGCCTCCTTGTGCGAAAGTACGCTTTCATAGAAGAAGACCATTGCATCCCAACACCTCTGACTGTCGAGCATCGCGCCCACGATGGTCGATAGCGAGAGATCTCCGCCCACTACCGCGTGCCGCTGTCAGGGAGTGCCGCTGGGGGCACATTCTGCCACGGTATGACGCACTGTATCGACGGGAGCGCCACACTCGTGACAGACAGGGGTCGTCTCCCGACCTGCAACCCGGTGCAGGTATTCGCCGAAATATTCATGTCCGGTGAGAACCTGCACCAATTTGTATGATAGAGACCCATATCGCCGGTGGACCCAGCGGATTAGGTGGGAGCGAACTGCCTCCATCCTCACTGAGCCGGGACTGGGGCCTCTAGGTCATCCGTCCGTTTTCGGATTAAGGCAACGCGGCCTGCTGCCCTGATCCTCTCCAGGTCTTCGGCGCTCGGCCTTTCCCCCCTGGCCTGCATGGCCGCTCGGTATCGGTACACTTCCGCGAGCACCTCCGCCTGGAGTTCCCAGGGAGGATCGCCCGCCAGAAGAGAGGCCGCCGTCCACGACACCGTGCGATAACCCCGGATCGCTCTCACCGCTATGACCCTCTGCGGCCTCCGCAAGAAGGGTTTAAGTCGAGCGGTGAGAGCTTCCACCCAAACCGGTGCGCCGTACAGGGCCATACTCCGGATTATTCCTGTATACAGGCGCCTGCAAACCGAGCCTGGTCCGCCTACGTTTGGCAAGAGCCGCCCTAGGGCGGCAGCAGTACCCGCCAGCTTCGGAGCGAGTTGGGCAATTTGCGTCCTGAAGTTCCACCTCCCGTCTAGTAGAAGGCCCAGATATTTCGCCTTGATTGGGATGGGGAGACGTCCCCAAAAAGGGCGATCCTTGCCTCCCTAGGGCGGCCTCTGCGCGGGCCATGGAATAGGAGGGGCTCCGTTTTGTGTATAGAGACTAACCCAACAGATGGATCCTTTCTTCCACGAGAGATGTCACTACGGTGCTCAACCGCGCGGCCTCTCCATAAGTCCTGCCCCGAGCAGTGACGAGGGTGTCATCTGCGCAGCAGATCACCCTCATCTTTGTAATTTAAACTGCAACTGTTATGGACAGGCGTGTCGCTTACCACCAAACGCACAACTGGTTCGACTCGTTACTTGGTATCTTCAAAAAACATGACATCTACCATTAATAATTAAGAAACCATATCAACATTTTGTACCCATTTACAAATACTCAAGAACCTACGTAGGTTTCGTTCCTCGTATGTCATTATTTTTATTTCAAAATACAAAAATCAAGTTACGTTTAATGGCTTTTTTAATAGCTTCACTATAATGTAGAGAAGATTACGACATGGATTGAGATATTATTCGGTTTGTTAAGTATTATTAAAATAAAATCAATGTGTAACTTGGCTTATTACCATGGACTCTGTGAGGGTCCGTGCAAACGGACGGCACCGGTGGGTTCGCGGAAGAATGCGGAAGCGTCCCCGCGTTCCCGCTACATGGTGCGTGGAGAAACACCCCCGGAGTTTTAATGGGTAGGCCTCACTTCTTAGAGAGGAGAGTCCCACATAACCCCACGCCTCCCCCGGGCGTGCGGTATGCGTAACGCATTTCTCCTAATGAAAAAAAGTTCCTTACAAAATAAACTGATGACGATGATGGGCGCAGTGGCGGTGCCCCTCAGTTAGATGCGATTTAAAGCTCTGAGTGGCACTGTAACTGTTATGGACAGGGGTGTAGTGGGGGTGTAGGCGCATGACTTGATCGTCCCGTCACTTGATATTATAAAAAATAAATTCTATTTCTATTGTACCAAAATGGAACACTATAAATGCAAACCCTTGTACTAAATGATAATTGCAGATAACTCTGTATAATTTGAAAAATAACTACTATAAACCATTTTAGGTCACTAGACGTCATTAATTGGAATTGAGTATTTGTATTTTGAATTACTGTTTTATAGATTTCTTAAGGGCAAATGGTTCAATTTGAGCTTTAACTTGAAGTTAATCGCGCTAATGCCTTAATATAGACCCTGTCGACGGGGGCAATTTATCAATCGCACGCCTAGAAACGTAATAGCTTATTATTCACGTTATTTGTCTTATTTTATTAAGGTCTATGCATGACATATCTCGAGTTTAGTATATTGATCGATTACCGATTCTTAACCTTCGTATACCCGCGCATTGGTCTCTCAAACCGACGACTATCGTTTGCCGTGTTTTTTTTTTCAAACGGAAAACTATCTCTAATAAAAAAAAAATATTTTGGATAAAACTTTGCTTGATACAATTTTACACATTTCCTTTTAATATTAAACTTCAATTTACGATGATATTTTATTAAACTACATACTAAATTGACCCTCGAATTGCGCGAAGTGCGCGATTATATGTGCTACACTATTTGGCGGTGATGGTGTTGATGCCTAGAGCAACATGTCACGCACAAAATCTTACTTTTACTACCTACCTTGATCGTTTAGGAACATAGTATCCTTTAAATTTCAAAAACTTTATGGTGATACGTCTTGTTTCTCTTTAAAAGTGTTGTCACATAGTGTATCATTAGGGGGTTGATGTTGCTCGCTTCCGTAGGTTTGCCCTCGAGACCCTACCAGTGACCCCTGAATGGTGCTAAAGGGCAACAATTACTAGCGGTAGGCTTCGGCCGTGGTAAGTCTAGTCATCACTCTCCCGACGTAGTCGAGTCGCCATATGGTCGCCACCGTGTTCCGACTCGTGTTCGGGAGTTGCCATTAGGAGGTTGGGTCTGAATAGCTGCATTGTGTCTGACGACAAGTTGTAGCTGCTTGTACTGCCACACTGAGCACTCGATTCTGGAGGCTAGCGGGATCCGAAGCACGCTACAACTGACCGACTGTGGGAAGTTGGGGGCCCAAGTAGCGGGAAAGCCACCCGTGAAAGGCTGCCTCGCCACCTAACGAAAAATCCCGGAATGCTCCACCTTGCCGTTTGGCTACCAGAAGGGAGGACCAGGTGGACATCTCCGGGGGGGTTCGGGCGTCCCCGCGGTCTCCAAACCGATTGTACCCTCGTGTGGCAGTGTGAGGTTTGCTGCTTGGTTGAACACTATTCACTTCCCTAAAACAATGAAATGAAAAACAGAAAGGGTAATAAGTTTATATAGCGGTTGCACGTCCTCCCACTAAAAAACACCTCACTAACATCCGAGGTCTGCACTCAAATCTCTATATGGTCCATCATCATCTTGAAACCGATAAACCGCAGCTGCTGTTCCTCACCGAGACGCAGAGCAGCCGTCCGACTGACACGGCGTATCTTATCTACGGGTATACTCTGGATAAGGATCATCAAGAATGGTTATTCATACCAGATGACCGATCACGCTCGGAGAGAGACGCGTAAACTTGCGTTAACGTAAACTAAGCCTATCCCAGCTTGTCAGTACGCCACTAGGATACCAGATGTTGACTCTCATACCGCTAATTGCTTGGACCTTCTGCTGACAACTGATCCGGACCGATACTCTGTGGTTCTGGATGCCCCACTGGGTACTTCCGACCCATGTCTGGTGAAAACTGTATCCATATACTCCCCACCCATCATGGCCTTAGTGGTATGAGATGAGTGTGGCGATACAGGTTAAGAGATTGGGATGAAATGCGCCATTTCTTTGTCTCATATCCTTGGCAGGTTTGCTTTTCTTCAGGAGACTCGTCGAGCTGTGCTGATGCCGTAGTCGAGGTCTTGCGTTTGGGTATGGAGTATTACATACCATACTCCGATATACCCAATGGGCCACACGCTCACTGCAGTCGTGCTGAAGCACAAACGCAGTCCGCGTACCAAGCACGGGCAGATGCTCGACTGCGCAAAGCTCTGAGTACTCGGAGTCTGAAGAAAGCCTTTAATATAGCCGGCTAGAAGTCCTACGTGCGCCTGAGCTGTCTCCTGTTCTCATACGCCTGCATCGCCTCTCACTTGAGACTGGTGTAGTTCCCAGGTCGTGGAAGTTTGCAAACGTGCAACCTGACCCAAAAGGGGAAGCAGAGCTGAACCTGTCAACTATAGACGTATCTCAGTCACTTCCATACTCTGCAAGACTATGGAACGTGTACTCAACAACCATCTCCTGTGATACATTGAAGACAATGACCTCCTCAGTGAGGGCGATCCACCGGGGAACTTATTGTGTATGCCTGTCACATATTGAGCGAGGTTACAGAAAAGCAAGGCGAAGCACTTGCAGTGTCTTTGGACATTTCTAAAGCCTTTGACAGGGTTTGACACGCAAGCCTTTTAAGCAAGCTTCCATGTTATGGGCTTCATTTGCAATTGGATATCGGATTTCATGAGTGAACGTTCCATTCGAGTGGACTTAGAAGGCTACTCTTTCGAACATATGGCGATAGGTTGACATGATATGATTGATGAGGATTCCATACAACATAAATAAAATAAAAAATAAAAAGGTATTTATTTCTCCACTAAACATAAGGAACACAACACTTAAAAAACGAGTAGAAATAAACAGTTGAGTGATGTGGACAAAAAGGTTAAAGACTCAGCATTGCTGATTTTCAGTCACCTAGCTAACTGTTCGCTTGCTGCACCAAGCTAATATGCGGAATGTACACTAAGTAATTACCTATCTTTAGTAATAACTATATCACATAGTACATTTAAAGTCAAATTCATTTATTCCAAAATTTACAAAATGCATTTATGAACAATAATAAAATGTATAACCTAAAGATCAGCACAAGGCTTCGTCAATAGGTAATCTAATACAAAAAAAAGTGAGATTCACGTTAAATATACTTAATTTAAAAAGAAATCCCGCCCTGTATCGTACCCGGGGCAAAAGTTCCCATTATACTGGCAGCATTGCCTCGCTGGACAGCAATGGACACCTGCTGAACCAACCACGACCCAGAGCGGTGATCGCAGCCCCTGTCTCTGACTCGGCGACCCAACTCTTTAAATAGGTCCCGAGCTTCCGAACCCCAAGGCCCCGCCGTCTCGACCGCGACCGGTACAAAGTCGTACACAGGCTCCAAGGCAGAATATTTCGCGTGTTTTAGTTTCGCGGCACTTTCCGCCGCGGAACCCGCCATCTGCGAAGTTTGTCTTATGTGGGACGCAGCAAAAGTACTTACGCATGTTGCGTCCCACAGAAGACAACGACCTTTCCGCCAAGGAACCAATGTCAAACCGTCCGGCCTTTTACCGTCTATTCGACTCAGGGCCGGGGGCTCGAGCACGCAAGGGACATTAGCCGACACCATCGCCCGTCGCACAATGTCATTAATGGCATGGTGTCTGGGAAAACGACCCGCACACCTTTGGCAGCTCAAACCGTGGTGTCCGTCCTCCCTCACCATAGCCCCACACACACAGCGGTGTGGTTCACAAACCTTGCTTCCCAATCTCAGTGCTACTGCTATCCTTAAAGATGTGTTGTCGAGCAAAGTACCCAACTGGGGAGATGGCAAAGCGTGTAACCACGCTCCCGATTCTGATTTAGCAACCGCTCTCAGACGGGCCACATCGGCACCCGAAGCACCCTCCAACAAGGAACTATACCTTCGTTCGCATAGAACGTCGTCCCAATTTCTCTGCAAACTAGGATTATCCGGGTGCTCGTCGCTTGGGCAAAGACTTGACCACCAGGTAAGAGCTTCTGCTTGGAATGGTATGCGAATACCGCTGCCATTTTGAGCTAAAATGCGAGCAACGAGATCCGCAGAGCCATAAGACGAAGCCAGAAACGCCACAAAGCCCACATCTTGCACTCGACGCACTCCAAGTCCACCATGCCTAATGGGAAGTGCAGCTTGACACCACTGTGGTAGAGTAAGACTTATGTTTAGCACTATCTCCAGCGTAACTCTGAGTACATCATCTACAAGGGCCACGTCTCGCTCAAAAAGCCACGTGGGAGATGTTCTACATATATAAGTCATTCGGGGCATCCCTAAACATTTAAAGCTGTCGAAATAGTTTATTATGCACATTTTTTTATGACATCAAGTGACGGGACGAACAAGTCGTGCGTCTGATGGTAAGCTACACGCGT